GTTACCCAACTCATCAACAGATCAGTTACTCCTTGAAGAAACAAACCTGCAAAAGCAAAAATATATACGATGAACTAACAATACAGAAATACCAGATGATACAGTATGTACCGTGGCTTTACACAGAGTATTAATAGAGACTGTGGTGACATTCTATGTCATTTACCCATGATGTCCTACAGATATCTACTAGATGATATGTACTGTGGCTTAACACAGAGTATTACAAGAGACTGGTGACATTCTATGTCATTTACCCATGATGTCCTACAGATATCTACCAGATGATATGTACTGTGGCTTAACACAGAGTGTTACAAGAGACTGGTGACATTCTATGTCATTTACCCATGACGTCCTACAGATGATATGTATTGCATATCAAGATGATATGTACTGCAGCCTTACAGTACATGATATGTTTATGTGCTGGGGTGCATTAGGTAAGTATCTTTAATAACAACTTGAGGCAATCAGATAATTATATATTAAACAGAATATTACATGGTCACTTGGAGATACAGATTTCACCTTCTCATGCCAAGAATATCAACTGTTTGCAGCTCCCAAAGATAAAGTGTGTATCTCCGAGTGGCCACGTAATATCCTCTATTATATCTAAATTGGCTTTCAATAATATGAAAAAGATAATACTTTATTCACCAACATTTGCTTGTGCTCAACAGCTTGTCCACCCAGCCAGTTGAATTGAATACAGAATAACAGACAAAAAAGGGAAACTATTGACTGACAGACAGGTAAGATCATCCATCATTACATGCATAACATACATATGAATGATGCTGTGTTGCCTTCACCACTGGTTTTCAATAACATTCCAAATGTCATATTTCATCTAACCAACATTAGCTTTTGTTCAACAGCTTGTCTACAAAACCAGCTAAATTTGACTTGAGAATAACAAAGACAAGCAATGGCCAGTGCAAACTGACAGGAAGGTACCTTACATGATTTATATTAGTTATTCTATAATATCAGCCACTACTGACATCTGACAAACCACTGACACCTGACCAACCACTGACTGACACCTGACCAACCACTGACACCTGACCAACCACTGACTGACACCTGACCAACCCCTGACTGACACCTGACCAACCCCTGACTGACACCTGACCAACCCCTGACTGACACCTGACCAACCCCTGACTGACACCTGACCAACCACTGACTGACACCTGACCAACCACTGACTGACA